CCTGTGTGCGTAGCCTATGAATGCATGGACTCGTAGAAGAGCTGACTGATCGATCATGGATTCATGGAGCCAGCTGCATTGCAAGCCGAGAAGAATGCATGCATAGTACTATGCAGATGCGGCATGGGCACATCCCCATGAATTGCGCGGAGCTCGATCTGTAGTGTGCTAGACCGATGCATCATGCCAAGGAAGGCGTCGTCTGGCGTCCCACGCACCGGTGAGCATGCAAACGGTAGCGGTCACCGGTCAAACGCGCCGCGGCCGGCCTTCTGCCGTCTCGTCGAGGTCGACGAGTCTGGAATTCAGGATCCGACACCGGCGGGCAAGCCATATACGTATTGGCATAGTGCATGCCATTGGCAAATGACAGTGGCATTGCACCAGAGTGAGGGCTGCAATTGCATGCAAGCCTGCAGCGCGGCGACCGGCCGGCCTCGAGCCCCTCGCAACCCGCATTGCCCGCCGCGTGCTGCAACCGGAGCTCGCGCCTCATTTATCGCGCCAACGCACACACCTCTCTCCGTCCTGGCGTCCTCCGTCCGGCCTCCGGGGCCGCCGGTCGCCGAGTGAGGGCGACTGGGGATTCAAGGCTCATCAATGGGGTTCGGTGGGTGCGGCAAGGCGTGGCGTCGTGTTGTTTGCCTTACCTGCGCTGCGCTGCGACGAGGTGGGGGGGGTGGGGATTCAAGGCTCTTGTACTCTGCAAGGTCTGCAGAGAGCGGTAAAATTATGTAAGGCTGTGTTTATGTGTTTAGTTCGTGAAATTTGGGAATTTGGTTACGGTAGTATTTTCGTTTTTATTTGATAATTAGTGATTAATCATGGACTAATTATGCTCAAAACGTTTGTCTCGCGATTTCCAATCAAACCGTGTAATTAGTTTTTTTTTTGTCTACATTTAATGCTCCATGCATGTATCGCAAGATTCGATGTGATGGCTACTGTAGAACTTTTTGGAAAAGTTTTTGGAACTAAACACAGCCTAAGTTTCGTAGTTAGACTGTGTTTAGTTCGTGAAATTTGAGAATTTGGCAACTGTAGCACTTTCGTTTTTATTTGGCAATTAGTGTTCAATCATGGATTAATTAGGCTGAAAATGTTTGTCTCGTGATTTCCAACCAAACTGTGCAATTAGTTTTTTTTCGTCTACATTTAATGCTCTATGCATGTATCGCAAAATTCGATGTGATAACTACTACAGCACTTTTTAGAAAACTTTTTGAGGACTAAACACCACCTTAATTTCCATTTCCATTCCACCGGTACTTACCTCCCACCTCTAAGCAATTCCTGACTAGTATTATTTTTTTTCAGAATGTAAAGCCAGCGATATTATTGGTTCCATACGAGTATGACCAATCCCAAATAGTACCCCCATTTGTTTCACCACCTCACCTGAGCGCACACCTGCCTGTGCTTCCCGTCTCCTCGCGCGCCAAACCAACCCGGGAGGGCCGGTGCGGCCGCCAGCCAGACCAATCACCAAGAGAGCCCGTTCGCCCGTGACGCGGTGACGCGCGCGGCGAGAGCGAGCGAGCTCCACGTACGACGCCGCGGCGAGCGAGCCCCATGAGGCGGCGGCGGTGGGCACGCGCCGCCACTGCGCTGTCGTGCCTCGCCATAGCCGCCGTGCTGCAGCTCGCCTTCGTTGAGGGGAGGTCGCCGTCGTCGTTGCTGCCGCCGAGGCGCGCGCACGGTGACGGCCACGCCCACGCCCACGCGCGCCCTCGCACGCACAGCGGGAGCGGGCTGCCGCCGCCGTTGACGGGTGCAACGACGACAGTGCACCATGCTGTCGCCGCGGCCGCAGCCGCCGGCGCGTCAGTACGCTTCGACGCCGCCGCGGGCGCCGCCAGGTGTAAGAGCAGCGGTAAGAGCAGCGGGCGGAAAGCAGCGAGCGGCGCTGCTGGTGGTGCGTGCGCTGATGACGACGAGGACAAGCGGCGCATACCGACGGGTCCTAACCCTCTGCACAACAGATAGATGATCGTGCAAGCCAACAAGATCCATGTCCTATAAGACGGGAGGATAGGAGCAATGCAAGCCAAGCCAAAAGAGTTCAGGGGGGCAACAACATCATGCACTGGCTTTCTTGGTATTTACGAGCTCATCATCATTTCCTATCCCCCTCTGTTCACCGTGGACATGATAGTGATCAGTAGTAGTAGTTCAGCTTCACCAGTAGTGAAAAATTCTTTTGGATGCTGTCCATTTCCTCTTCTTTTTCGAGCTTTTCGTCTGCCAGCACCGGGTGTATATTCTGCCTAGCTAGCTGTGCCTCTCTTGTTCTCTGTCAGAAGCAAGAATTGTTGGGCTCAGCTCTCTCCCAGCTTTCCTCCGATGGGCGCTTGTTCCCATCCTGGAAACGGAAGATTCGGCTGTTCGTCATATCTGAATTGCTTGCTTTCTCTCTGTCCGTTCCAACCAAAAGCTTTCAAAAGCCACAGGAGGACGACCTTCTGAACGCAAAGATCTCCAGCGATCCTACGAGCATCGTATCTCCTGTAGGCCCTGTGCTGTGTGATCATGGCAGAAAGCGATTCATTCACCAGTGAAGGTATAAAAAATGCCCCTTTTCCTCAATGTAATATCGTTGTAAAAATGCTCTCCTTTTTTGTGTGTGTAGTGGTGGGGCTCTGAAAACGTAGTAACATGCGCTGCTTTTTAAGTGCTAGTTACTCAGACAACGCTGTTGCAGCCCATCACCTGAATGGGCATGTGTTAATGCTCTTGTACCCTTTTGCCTGTCCTTGGTCTTTGATCAGTATAGCATGCTGATGCTTGAATTGAAGGCCACTCTGCACAACATGTCTTCTCGGATTTAGTACAGGCGCCAGTACAATTGCTGGGCAAGGGCATGCATGATAAAGATGGCAGATGGGTAGCCAATGTGAAGCGGCAGCAGTATTTGTATCCATGGGAAAAAGGCTGAGCAACTGCTCCTAGGTGCAGATGCAAATGAGCAGGAGCTTGGAGGCGTGCTCCATGGATTGTTCTTGGACCAGAGCTCCTTGCCAGCTCCTCAAGTTCTGTTGGAGAGTCAGGCAGTGGTCCTGGTCCAGCAATCTTGAATCTTCAGTCCGTTTTGGTTTTTGGCAAATGGCTCTTGGAGCCTTTCTGTGGCTCTGGCTGGCAGGAGAGGTGCAGCAGGCTAGGGAGTAAAGTTTTATTTTATTTATGCATACAAAAGTCTATCAAGGAGGCCGGGAGGGAAATGGCATGTGAACTTGTAACCATCCAAAAGCAAGCATGTACTCGCAACAGCTGCCAACGGGGGATTCATCGATCAGATGCTGGAGATCGAGTGGTCCAATGTTCTTATAGAGCTCATTTATACCACTACCTGATAATATACAGCAAAGGCGGATAACTGCTGTATAATCATGATGTTCAGACCAAAATCCATAGTTCCATGCCAAAACAGCCTTCCCAAAGTAATAGACCAACAGGTAGAGCGACGATACTATTATCCAAACATGTTTAACGTGGTACTAGAAGTCATTTCTAACGATCCATCATGGAGAGAGTACATGAATGGGACTTGTACGACTACCAACAAGGTAACTACTAACTAGCCTATCGAGAAGCCAATAAATTTAATCCTTCTTTATAAGAAGAAACAGCCTCTGATCCAGCTGAAAGCTAGCTGCACAGGAAGGATCACCCCTAAGCATCATCAAGAGGCCACCAAAAGATGCATAAATCTCCCTGGAATGAAGACACGGGGGATGTTGAATTAGAAAATGTAGCATATACCAAACTGGGTAGAAACACATAATTGAGTTATAAAAGGAGTAGAATTAGAAAATGTAACATATAACAAACTGATCACAAACTAATTGAGGAATAAACATTGAAAAGGGGTAGAATTCAGTCTATATTGCAACTTTGCTCTCTGAAATAGCAAGTGCTTAATAAGATGAACAAAGCTGAATAAATCATGCAACTAAAACAGCAGATAGCGATGCCATGCATTTGAACTGTTTCTTAAAATAAACTACAAGTTTCTTCGCCGATCATCTATAACCATGCATGGCATACTTACCCCTGCTCTATAAACCATGCATCAAATTTGTCAAATTAAGCCAGTTGCTTTAAACAATTTTGCTTCTATCTTTCGATAAATAGAGCGGCCTTGCAATATTTCCATTTTTTGGACAGCTACATACAAGGAACGTCTAATATGTAAAACCTAACCCATGAAGCTTCATTGATCAAATGTGCATTATTTCTTAAATAATTACTGATACACGTTCACTTGGCCACAAACCATGGCAGTATTTCATCGCCGTGGATAGATCTGTAAAGTAATTTCATCTTATAAAACATAAAAACACAACCTTGAACGATAAGACTTCCTTAGTAAATTCAAATTTAACAGGATCCAACAGACCAAGTACTAGTGCTTGTCAAGAATTGCAAGACATGTATCACATATCCACAGCAAATAAATTATTTGTATCCTCAGACTTGTGTACACCAGAGAGTAGATCCAAAACAGATTACCACGTGGGATAAATCATATAACAAACTGGGCAGAAACACATTAATTGAGGACTAAGCATTGAACAGGGCATGTCAGGTATGTGTGCACTGTGCAATTCAGTCTATATTGCAATTTTGCTCTCTGAAATACCAGGTGCTTAACAAGATGAACAAAGTTGAATAAATCATGCAACTAAAACGGCAGATAGAAATACCATGCATCTGAACTGTTTCATCAAAAAATAAACTACACCAAGTTTCTTTGCCATCCATCTATAACCATGTATGGCATACTTACCCATGCTCTATAACCCATGCATCAAATTTATCTAATTAAGCCTATTGCTTTAAATAATTTTGCTTCCTTCTTTCGATAAATAGACTGGCCTTGCAATGATTTCCATTTTTTTGCACAGAAACATAAAAAAAGACCCATGTAGATCTGTAAAGTAATTACTAATAGATGATTAATTGATCAAATGAACATTATTTTTTAAATAATTACTAATTGCTCACATGGCCACAAACCGTGGCAGTATTTCATCACCATGTAGATCTGTAAAGTAATTTCATCTTAAAACACAAACAGAACCTTAATCGATAAGAGTACCTTAGTAAATTCAAATTTAACAGGATGCGGCAGACCAAGTAATAGTGCTTGTCAAGAATCGACAAGACATGCATCACATATTCACATAAAATAAATTATATGTATCCTCGGACTTACGTACACCAGAGAGTAAATCTAAAAGAGAATACCATGCGGGATCAATCATCCCTGTTCCAACTTATGTTGTGGATCTTTTCAGTAACTTTTAATTGGTTACACTTACACAGGCTGTTAGTAACTACAAGGGTGTCTTCACGAAAAATGCGAAGGGGCAGGGAAATAAAACAGTGTAGCATCATATATATGTAACATTGCTCAAGTTCAGAGAAGGCATACACTTTAGTAGATGAATCGCCATTACTGTCTTTGGTACTGTCTTCTGAGATCTTGTAAAGCTTTCCATGCATGATGTATTGATAATCGTCAGCAAGCATTTTTCTTCCAGCCTGCATGAAAGGAATGGCATCATGTTGTTTACCCAATAAAACTATGCCTCATGGAAGACAAGTCCAAGAGAAAAATGAAAAATGTCATGGCACCTCAAACACATTCGGATCTGTATTCCCATCACAAAAGTTTTATAATGTCAAGATCAAGCTACTCCCTCCGTTTTTTTTAAATGTCGTATTAGGTTTGTCCTAAGTCAAACATTCCTAACTTTGATCATCAATTTCAAAAAATCCATGTAGTTTCACAACATGTGAACTATATACTGTTAAAGTATTTCTCATACAAGTGAATCTAAAAACATATACATATCTTATATACATTTTTTTTTAAATATTGATGGTCAAAGATAGAAATATTTGACATAGGACAAAACCATACAACATGTAAAAAACGAGGGACGGAGGGAGTATGAGACCAATTAGGTGTGTCACCTGTGTGTAGTAGCCAGTGTCTGTTGATCCATCCAGGTTCAGAGTGAGAGCTAAAACCATGTTGAATGTGTCACCAACAAGCATTGGATAGACCTCAGTAGCAACATCCAGCTGCATGTACATTTCGTTCTCGCTATAAGCTTCAATTCGAGTGACTGTCGATGGGCATTATTAAAAGAAAAACAACATTAGATCATCTGATATTTGCAGCAAGATAAAGCAGAAATCTGAATAATCGTGCTTCGAGCACTCAAAGAACTGCATAATGCAGAGCAAAGTATCCAATTGCTAGCAAACAATTTACAGGGCAGCTACGCAGTTTCAGAAGAGGAAAACACATCCTGTTATCTGTTGCAGTAGTGGATTCAATTTTGCTGTGGAAAAGTCAGATAAATTACCTTTGTCGAACTTCTTGCCATCAGGATCGAGCCTGATCACCTTGAATTTATCTTTGAAGAGGTGCTCGGCCATTTTTCCTGCAAATGATAGATAGCAATAGATCAGCACGCTTGGATGTGTCAAAAAGGTCCAAAAGTTCCCCGGGGGCAAAACGTGCGAACCAACGGAGAACAAAGATATAAGTTCCCCGGGGGCAAAACTTGCGAAGCAACGGATATCGAAGGGAGCAAAGATATGAGATTGCATTCGATGCGGCAGCCTATTGGGTTCTGGGGGGGGGGGGTTTACCGCCGAAGAACCCGAGGTTTAGGGTTTAGTTGGGCAATTTCTACGGCGAGGTGATTCATCGACCGTGCGCGCCGAACGACGTAACCAAACCGCGCGGGGATTGGATTGGTAGGGCGGCATGACACCGCACACGAATACCACAACGAACAAGGAATCTGTCCCCTAAAACCAGGGGCGGAACCAGCAGTATAAAGCATTAGGGTTTGGGGTGCTCGGCTTCGCACAGGAGGAAGGAGGAGAAGGGGGGCATACCTGGCGGGTGCTCGTCGCCGGCGCCGACCTGGCGAAGGGTGGCGGCGCTCGCCCAGTCGTCGCCGCACGGCCGCAGCAAGGAAAGAAAGGCAGGGGAGAGAGAGAGAGAGGCGCGCCGGAGAAAGAAGAGGGACCCACGCGGACTAGTCAGGGACGTGCTTTGCTTATCCACCGTTCCTTTGGATCCGACGCGTCTCATGAATCGTCCGTTGCTGGGCTCTAATAGGCCCAAGCAAGTCGGACAATTCTGCTCAGTGCCTGCTTGCTATGCAGTATCGGAGGTGCAAGTCCTAATCATTTTGCAACGTCGTCTCAGACAGAGAAATTGACAGTGAGGGCGTGTCTTGCCTCGTCATCACCCATTTATCTAAATTTAAAAGCATAGTTAAATAAACTTACATAAAATAAAAAGAAGCTTAATCTATGCCCCGTTTGGTTGAGAGAACCCGTTTTGGTTTATTGAGAGAATTGGGAAAACAGTTCCAAACGGGATATCAGCGCTGAGAATCAGATCAGAATCGTTTTACACTTCCTTCACTTAGTTTAGAACTTTGCGATTTTGCTGCAGGGCCTATCTTAATTTAGGTACCGTTTGGATCCATAAGGATTCTAAGAATTCAGATTAAAGAAAACTCAAAATCATAGAATCCCGTCCAAACACCTTAGGATTACAGAAGATTCTACTTGAAGAAACATCATTTTTTTTATTTGTTCGTTTATAATCTACGACTTAAACAGTATTTTTCTCTCGTACCAAACCAAACCAGTTAGTAGCCAATTCAGCCGAGTTTACAAGCCAATTCAGCCTAACCGAACAGACCGATGGTGCTTCATGCTGTAGACACTGTGGATGGTCATGGCCTAACGAAACGACGGTATTGGCGGTCACATCAGGGTTGGTGGAGTGACTCGTGGTCCTGCCCTGGGCGCCCTGCTGCTATATAATGTCCGTCACGTGAAGTGGGGAAGTAGCCCACGACGGGCATGTGCGCCTGTGCGGCGACGGAAAGGAAAAGGAGCCCCCGTACGGTGGTGTTGAGTGGAGAGGGCTACTGCCACTGGAGACGCAGTGCCTGTCGTGTCGTCGGCAGCAGCAACACTGCAACAGCAGAGGGCCATGGGTTTCTGGTCCTTCCTATACGGAGTAGTTCCTCCTCCAGCGACCCACGGACAATTTTGTTGGCGTAATAAAAAGGTCCAGTTTAGTTCCAGAAAATTTTACCAAATTACATTAAATTTTTAGACGTATGAAGCATTAAATATAAATAAAAAATAAAACTAATTACACAGTTTAGACGAAATTCATGAGACGAATCCTTTAAACCTAATTAGATTATGATTGGACACTAATTACTAAATAACAATAAAAAATGCTACAGTACATTTTGCAAAATTTTTCGCCATCTAAACGGGCCCCAACATTAGAAGGAAAAAAAATTGGTACCAAATTTTGGCTCATCACTTTCTCCCAATCAATTTATCTCACTAGTCTACGTACAAGAGTCTCGATCGATTTTACTAAAAGCAGTAGTACGTGACGAGTATTAGTCATGTCTGTGATTCAAACTCGCGTCTATGCTCATACGAAGCATCTACCCTACTAATACACCAAATTTTCTTCGCTTGGTCCACCCAGAAAAGCGTCCCCTACTGAGATGGTCATCCTAAATACACTCCAAAAATTATACACACAAAACAAACCACATCCGAATCAACCGTCCAGATCTGTCTTCAATATTCTCTCTTATTACTCACGCACGATCCAACGATCAGCATATTTTGTATGGTATTCCTCCTCCCCCTCCATGCGTCGCGGAAAAAGGAATATTGACGCGAGAAAAATTGACGCACGAGAAATCCGCGGCTCTTTCCACGCGGAGTCCGCCTCCGCTCGATCTCCTGCCTCCGCACCTACGAAGCCTCGCCGCAGCACGTCCGCGCCGTTGTGGCCGTTCCGGCGTTCTCAATTCCCGTAAGGCATAAGCCGTAATCCCGTGACCGTGATCCCCAGCGGGTGGCCGCAAACGTAGCGGCGCTGCGGTCCCTCTCCGTCCCTGAAGGCCTGACTCCCTGCCGCCCCGGTGGTAAGTGATTTGAGTTCATCAATATTCAGTTATAGGGCCTGGCGGTGTTTGTTTGATCTCATCTGACAACTTCAATTTTCTATTCGACCTTGCAATCCAATCCGTACAGTACAGGCATCAAGCGACCAAAGCCAATAGTTGATCCATTAATTTAATTATTTAATTCATCAAGCCACATAGGAACAGGCCGTAGGCTACAGGTAATTTTTTCTAAACTCCATATTACCGTGATAGACTGATAGGGTTCTAATTTTCTAATTCAATATACTTTTTGAACATGTTAGATGTTGCCTAAGTAACATTTGTTTGGTGCTCAGAAAAGAAAAAAAGAAAACCAGAAGTTCAGTTCATAGAATCGCAAAGGGGTGTCATATTAAAACATTAGATTGCCAAGCCTTTAGTTCCTAGCCGCGACCACTGCCGCCAGTACTCCTCGTCGGCGGAACCAGCAACAAACCCCAACCAAGAGGACTAACTTGGCAGCCGGCGTACTTCGTCAACAACGTTGTCGTCAACGGCAAGGCGTGGCCGTACCTCCGCGTGCGACGCCGCTGCTACGGCTTCTGCATCCTCATCGCCAGCAACGCGCGCATCTACCACCTGTCGCTCAGCACAATCCCCGGGCGACCCCGGCGACAAGGCTTTGTCCACCGCCGTGATGAAGGGCGTGATCGAGGTCGGCAACACCACGGAGACGGACACCTCGACCGTGCCGGCGACTTGTACAGGTTATTAGTATTTCCATTTGATCTCCGCCTTATCATTTCGTGCAGCCTGAATGCCCGATTAGATTGCCATTTGCAACCTGAATGCACGATTCAGGTGAATTCCTCTAAATCTTTGTACTTGTCAATTTAAACTATGTTTGGTTCCTACCTTTATTAAATTTAATCTATGTTTAATTATGCTAATCTTTTAAATTTAAGTACATTATTTAATATTGCTTTGATCATATTAAGATAATGTCGAAATAGTAGAGGGTGAGGCAACAATCGAAGCCTCTAGCCAAGAAAGGCAGAACAAAGAGAATGCCGAAATAGTAGTTCCGCCATCCTCGCCCAAAGCTGAAAAGTTTCCGACACCAGATAACTCAGGTGAATTACTCTAAATACTTTTACTTGTAATAAATTTATAAGCTATGTTCGATTAGTACTTTTAGTAAATTTATTTAAGCTATGTATGATTAGTCATCATTGCAACCTCATAGATTTGGTCTCCCAAATTATTATTTATTATTAAATAATACTTTGCTCATCTGTAGAGATTAAAAAGTATATAGAGAGTGAGTCAAGAAAGTATATAGAGAGTGAGTCAAGAATTGTAGCCTCTAGCCAAGAAACGTTGGACAACAACAACGCCGAAATAATAGTTCGGCCATCCTCACCCGAAGGTCAGAAATATCCGAGCCTTTAATAATAATTTCACCCATTTCCTTGTTTATGATGAACCTCACTGATCAGTCCGTACAACTCACAGATTGGCTACACAAAAATGATGCATATATTCCCATGTGTACAGTGAAATGTATGGTCCGTATTGATGCATTGCCTACTTCTGGTGAGCCAAATTAACACAACATCATCATGCTACTTTTCAATATGAAATAAGGCATTTATTTAGATGCTAATGTACTAGAGTGGAGCTATATTGATGTAGATGTCGATCAAGAAAGATGCGAAGACAAGAAGCGGAAGCGTGCTCATGAGGATGACGTACACAACGAACTCTTAAGCAACACAAATCTCCTCTCATATTTTGTCCGAGTGGGCCATTGCATACAAAATGTACAAATATGGAATCTCAAACTGATATTATATATTGCATCTGCAGATCATTATTAGGGAGGAAGCGAGAGAAGTACAGGTCAACGACGATGCTGTACAAACGCCAGTACTACAAAAGGCACAACATATGATGCGTGCTGACGATGATGTGACGGCGTTGCCTCGGTATAATAAGCCAAAGAAATCAAACAATGCACAAATCATGACTCAAGGTAAGCCACCATTAATTGAAACTTACTTCTTTAATTTAAATAATTAATTACTTATTACTAATAATAATATAAAATGATACATCTGCAGATTATGTGTCTACGAAACAAGATGATGAGGTCATTGAATACATGAAAGGAAAAAGTATAGATCATAAACTCGTCAGAATCAATGATGCTTGGGGATGCAGGGATGACCTAGATTGCCTTTTTAAGTCGAATGAGCAGGTCAATGGCTCGGTAAGCATGTTTAACACTGCTTCTGCATTACATAGTGTCCATACAAACTATCTGCCAATCTTTTAATGACAAATTAAAAACTTGCAGGTCATAAGTTTGTATATCCAATTGATGCGGCATGAAGAACACCTACTTCATAGAGATGGTGGAGATGTATATTTGGAAAATTCAATGGTTTCTCAAATGCTATGAATTGACGGGAAGAAAGAAGAGAG